ACTTTCGTTGAACTACAAAAATTTTATCAGATACATTTTTTGTCGATATACTTGTGTGACACCCTGTATATTATAAACCGTGACTTATATGTTAACAGAAGCATGTTAACCAGAAAGAGGTTTTTATGTTTACTTTTTTCTACTTCATCGTAGTTAGTTCTACTGAACGTTCAATCGAAGAAGAATTTTTCCGATGTCCTAGATTTTGTGCCTTGACGATTTTCCAAGCGTGTTATAAAGAACGTGTTTTATGAACTTTTCTCTGTTATCTGCAGAAGAAAAGTTGTCTGAACTGCACACGAAAAACAAGTCTCAGGATTATACAAGGTGTCCTTGAAAAATTTGTAATAATGCTCCACATTTTCCACATTACTATTGCATATTCCTCTGTTATGAATATTGAAAATAAAATTTACTGTAAATTGACCTTTTTAAGTTAACTACTTCATTTCCTTAGTTTGTATCATAATTTTTTTCTTTCACTTACTTGATTTTTTTTCTTGTCTATGATTTTTGCCTTATCAGTGGTCCTCTTAGTTGCAAGGAGGGACTAAAACGGTAGAATGTGTGATCTTTTAACAGATTTTGAGAAATATTTAGTTTGTCAATTGGTCTTTTTATTCTATACTAACTACATATTTTTCTTTATTTTTAATTTAATATAATTTAGATGGAGAATACGTTAACCATCTAAGATTCGCTGATGATATAGTCCTTATTGCCAATAGTCCTGAAGAACTACAAGCACAAATTAATGAACTAAATACGGCCAGCAATAAAGTGGGTCACAAAATAAATTTAGCAAAAACTAATATAAGGTACAACGAACTAGGGGAAAGAAAAGACATTCTAATAAATAACACAACACTGAAAATTGTAGAAGAATATATATATTTGGGACAACTAATACACAGCTCAGGATCTCTACTAACAAAAATTAACAGAAGAATTAAGTTAGCATGGAGTACTTATGAATGAAACTCAATCCTATTCAAATCTAGAATGCCACTCTATCTAAAGAAGTAAACATTCGACCATTGTGTACTACCTGTCATGACCTATATATGCCAAACCTGGACACTTAAAACGGACATCATACGGAAACTGCAGGTCACACAATACTCAATAGAACGAAATATGCTGGGAATAACCAAGAAAGACCGTAAAAGAATAGAGTGGATACGACAAGAGATCCAGGTAATAGATGTCATCCACAGAGTCAAATCCCTCAAATGGCAATGGGCAGGACACCTGGCAAGAAGAACGGACAACAGATGGACTACAAAAATTACAGCATGGTACCCACGAGGAATTCAGAGACTTAGAGGAAGACCGAACCTGAGATGGGACCATGATATTAGGAAATTAGCAGGGATAACTTGAGCTCGCATAGCCAACAATAGACAACAATGAGCCTAACTAAAAAGTGAGTATGTGAGGGAGACTACATTATAATTGGAAATGGTTGAATAAGCTGAAAATGATGATGATAATGATAATAATTAATAAGTATCTATATCTCTCTCTATTTGTTTCGTTTTTTTTTATTTCAGTTTCACTAATTAAAAAAATAAATTTCTCCCTGTCTAATGGCTATCCTTCCCATTTAACTCCAGCGTTTAATATAAAAGATAGCACTGCTTTTAAACGTGCATTTCGTGACACCTTATACACTCAGATGCAAAAAAACGCAACGAGGAAATTTTTGGTCTATTTTAAAGTGTTATATTTTTGTTATTTTTAGCCCTATTTTCATGAATTATTTAGCAAGCTGTATACAGGGTGTCATTGAAATGGTGTAAAAAAGAATCGGGGGGTGATAGTACTCCTAAAAATAGTAAAAAAAGTTCCTATAAGTATAGGGCGGAAAATGCATATTAAGGGAGTTAGGAGCACTGAAAGGGTGAATTTAAAAAACTGTTGTTTTGAAATTGTAGGCTTAAAAAACGAGATAAGACTTCGAAAAAAAATCCTCTGCCATAAATTTTGACCCTAAATCAAATGCTGAGACTGAAAAATTATTTGGAAAAGCGGAAAGGGTATTTTTTGCAAGGGTAGGGGGTTATTTCTTGAATAACTTTTTTGAGGTTATTTTTTTTGCAACGTGGGTTCATTTTTTGAAAACTACATACTTTTTCCTACAAAAAAGGTACTCTTGTTGCACATCGCCCAGAGCGATGGTTTTCGAGAAAATTGAAAGCAAAGAGATTGCTCTGATGGGTTGCTAACTGGTTAATCAACCTAAACTTATTAAAGTTATGGCGGATGGCGGTTCAACAGTAACCAAGTAGTTATTAAATAATTAATTGGAAAATCAAAATTTCATGATTTTTAAAACATCTTATTGCTTTAAAAACGAAATAAACTTTTTTGGTTTTAAAAAAAATTGGTTTGCTCAGTGGCGATTAATACTGAAAAGCAACTACGGCAACGCATTATTGATTGTTTCAATCATATTTGGACAACACCAAGGATATTCCACAGGGTATCTACGCAGATCGTAGACAAGAAGATTAGATGTCTACATTGAAATGAATGGTGGTCACTGAACATTTACTATGAATGAATTAAGGAATGCATTATTTTAATAAGGAATTTTGGTAATTGGATTATTTCGTTTTTTAAAGCAATAAGATGTTTCAAAAATCATGAAATTTTTATTTTTCAATTAATTATTTGATAACTACTTGGTTACTTTTGAACCGCCATAACTTTCATAAGTTTATGTTGATTAACCAGTTAGCAACCCATCAGAGCAAACTCATCAGAGCGTCTTCAATTTTCTAGAAAACCATCGCTCTGGGCGATGTGCAACAAGAGTACCTCTTTATAGGAAAAAGTATGTAATTTTCAAAAAATTAACCATCGTTGCAAAAAAAATAACCTCAAAAAAGTTATTCACGAAAAAAAAACATATCCTTGCAAAAACTACCCTTTCCGCTTTTCCAAATAATTTTTCAGTATCACCATTTGATTTAGGGTCAAAATTTATGGCAGAGGATTTTTTTTTCGAAAGTTTATCTCGTTTTTTAAGCCTACAATTTTAAAACAAGCGTTTTTTAAAATCACCCTTTCACTGCCTCTAACTCCCTTAATATGCACTTTCCGCCCTATACTTATAGGAACTTTTTTTACTATTTTTAGGAGTACTATCACCCCCCGATTTTTTTACATCATTTCAATGACACCCTGTATAATTATATCAACTTTAATTCGTAAACTCAGTTTTTTATAAACTTTAGTATTTGGCATATTATACAGGGTTAATCGATGGGTTGTTTTCTTACTTTAATTTTAAAACACCCTGTGCAATAATTTCGTGTGTAAATTTTCCTAAAATATAATTTTACGATCTGAACCATGTCTCCTGAGCATTTTGTTTTTTGGATCATGTCAATTCATGCCTTGGTTAATTTTTGAGAGCGAAATGAACTTTCCACCAAAAATTTGCAATTTTTTCAATTATTATTTCTTTTTGAAGTTATTTTTCAATGTGACAAGGCTGCTTTGGTAATTATTGTGAACTATAGACTACTATGAACTGCCCATCACGTTTAACGTTTGGAAAATGCATAGCAGGAGGGTTAGAGTTCGCGAAGCGTTACCAGCTTCATTAAATGAACTTCACTTGGTCCTTAAAGAAAAATGGGAAAACAACGCAATATGATAATATATGCAACCTCAATGACAGTATGAACGGACCTATACAGGCAGTTATAGCAGCCAAGGGAGGCAATACAAAGTATTAGAGTATTTTAACATTTTTTTTTTCTGTTTATGTACTTCAGTATTACAGATGTGTTCTTTAATATCGTTATTAATGTTTATTAAAACCCGGACTGTATCGTTATTAGTCTTTAAAGTTTTGTTTTTAATTTAGTATAGAGTATCCAATGCAGCGTATTATAACGTTACGATAATAGTCACCAAAACCATTTTGTTGTATTAAAAAATTACATAAAAAAGTCATGATAATTGAAAATATTGCAAATTGATCCTGATCAGTTCATTTCGCTCTTAAAAATTAGCCAAAGGATGTATTGACATGAATAAAAAAAACAAAATCCTCTGGAGTCATGGTTCTGACCGCAAAATTATATTTTAGGAAAATATACACACGAAATTATTGCACAGGGCGTTTTAAAGTTAGAGTAAAAAAAACAACCCCTCGATTAACCCTGTATAATATGCCAAATACTAAAGTTGAGGAGGGACTAAAGTTACGAATTTAAGTTACGTTAGTTTACGAATTAAAGGTGATATAATTATATACAGCTTGCTAAAAAATTCATGAAACTATTTTCCCCCCTGGCTAAAAATAATAAAAATATAACACATTAAATTTGACCAAAAATTTCTCCGTTTTATGAGTTACTCTTTTCTGCATACTGACTATTTTATGTGTACTAAGGAAAAAAATTTTTTAGGTAATATAAGGTTTTTCGTAAAATTTGTGGCCGGCCGTAGGTAGCTTCAGCGTTAGTGTGTCGATCTGCGGAGCGGAAGGTACTGGGTTCGATCCCCAGCCGGTACGGTAGGTTTATTTATTTATATAAAAATATTTATTTATCTAAATAGAGCGACCAACGAGCCGCCACACAGTGCTTCGAACATATGGGTCTAGAGGACAAAAATGCAAAACTTCTCTTTTATTGTAGGCAATTTATTCAAACTAGGTTTATTTGACACAAATAATAAGTACTCTCATTGTACTAAATGATGATGTTCTTAGTCCCACGTTTATGAAAAAAAAATCTTATAAATAATAAACATGTTGAATCTCAAAATAAAAACACTAAATCACCACAATACACCAAAACACGTTCATAATCATCTGCTGATGATGCTAACATGGTTAGCGAAACGCGCGTCCAGTGTAAAAGTAAAAGTGTTTTGGTGTATTGTGGTGATTTAGTGTTTTTATTTTGCTGTTTAACACCAAAGGTTCCAACCCTCAACTGTAATGTTGAATCTAATGAAATAATAATTTATAGTATGAAAATGATGTAAGTATTAAAACATCCCTGTGATAAAAAACAATTGAAATAACATTAGTATATGATTTCTACAATGTAAGCCTAATATTTATAATAATGTTTTTCATAACATAAAAATGTTTTTCTTTAATGAAAAAGAAACATTAATACTATATTTAACTAAAAAAAACTTAAAACCTTAAGATACTAGAAATTTAATTTAGGATAACAAAAACATAGATTGTAATTACTCTGATTCGGAAGAATCACTGCTGACAGAATCTTCCAAATTTATATCCAAATCATAGGTAGATGAAGTATCCTCACATATAAGATATTTCTGTACATCGATGTCTAATTTGTTACTTTTTCGCGTTGTTACTTTTCTTTTTGTTGATATGAGGGGCTCGGATGTTATTGATAACCTCTTTAATAGATCTGTATTTGAACTTATTCTAGAACATTTTCTGGTGTGAAACAATCGATATTTTCTTACTTCCTTGTGTCGTGCTTCCAGATCATCCTCTGAGAGTTGGCCTATTGGTAACGAAAATGATTCAATTATTTCGCACCCGTGTTCAAGAACTTTGTGTACGCTACTTGGCATGTAATACCATCTGTATAGATCTAAATATAATTGTTTAGTTTCGCCCAGTAGTTCTTTAAAATTTTCAATTTTTATCGGTCGACCACTTGCCAGAACCCTAAGTATAATTGAAAACTTTACTATTAAATTTTTATCTATACCTAGAATTTCGGAACTTAATTCTGGGTTGTAAAAGAAACATCTTGCCGTGTTCCCATCGTTACTTGACCCATACCCTGGCTTTGGTTTGTCTACAATCAGCCCCATTCTCGATTTGAATTCAGCCTGTATTTTCTTTTTGTTATTTTCAACAATTTCTTTATTTTCGGCACCTTTCACTTGCCACGATTTTATTGGTAAACGATAACCGATGTGAAGTAAGCATTCAAAAAATCGAATCCAACAATGGAGTGTAGACAAACCAAAGCGGTAGTTCTCTATTTGGGATGGGCGGCTTATATTTTCCAAATTCATATGCTTGGGGGTTGCCTGGCAAATGATGCATTTGGATGTCGCGTTTGTATCTGAGACGATGTGGTAGACGACATGGTATACACAACTGTACAAATTTGCCCATTGTCAAACTTAATATCAAATGGATTCAGATTATTAATTTTTTCCAATATGTTTTTTTCCTCGTCACGTATTAGCTCTTTATTTTCTTTTTTAAATATAAATTTTATAGGTCGGCAGTAAAGTGTGGATGATGGACTTGGATTGACCCACATAACATTTTCAGTCTCTACATCTTGTAGTCTTAAAGGCACTAGAACCACTAAAAAAAGAAATTCATCCGTGCAAAATGCATCGGCAAATGACTGCTTATATTGGCTATGCCCAGAAGAACCATCAAAGCCCCATTTGCAAACCAACATTGTTTTTTTGTTTTCTTTGATGTCTATTATATTTATTATACTTTGAGCTGTTAAGCTGCATTTAAAAGAGCTTGCAAATCCACTTCAGCTGAAATTTCAGTACTATAAATGTTAGAAGGTAAAAGAGCATTTTGTGTTTGTCTTAAAATATACAGACTAGGAAAGGTATTTGTACCTGTACTGTTTACAACGGACCTAAGAACATTATATTTTCTTTCAGACAAAGAGGTCTAAGTAAAGAGCTAGTGCCTGATGAGGAGAAAGTGAAGTAGTGGGACATGGTGCAGAACTACTTACTAATTTAGCTGCATATTTTATTTCACTAGTGGTTCAGCCAGCAGTGATTTTTTTGGCACGCCTAATTTTTGTCTTCTTGGAACACTCTTCAAATGGCTTTAAAGGTCTTCCACGAGCGCGACTTGTGCCAGCCTGCTCTAAGTTGCTTGATTGACCATCAGATAAACATTGTGGCATTAAGATCTTACTTAGCAACCACGCTTTGTTTCGGCGCTCAAATCGAAGGCGGTTTCGAGACGACCCAGCCCATCTTCTGCTTATATTCAGGCAAAAGAGTCTGCTTGCAGTCTCCAAGTGGTGTCTCATTTGCCTGGAAGGTTCATCAGTATTTAATAACGAACACATTTTTTCAAATACAAACAATTTTGGGTTCTTGTCGCTGTGATCAAGCCAAGTATTAACAAGATCGGCATTAGTTATAAATTTTACTCCATCTGAAAAATATTATAAAATAAAGTTCGTCGCAAGCAGACGCAGGTGAACTATACAAAAATTAAAACTATATGAATATGACAACAAAAATATTCAATAAATACGATATGTTTTGATATGCTTTTTTTAAATGCCTTTTTGAAGTTTGAAAAAGTAAAATTTTTATACACAATTAAGAATCATCTTAAAAATAAATAAAAAGTAAACAATCACGAACTTGTTTAGAAATAAATTTAAAGTACATACCTTGTTTAACAATATCCATAGTGGCTTTGATTTAAACACGTACCGTTTAACTCCATATACAGATCTAATATTTATGAATATTCTTTTCACTGATAAGATAATGATCGCAAAGTTTATTTTTAGTGAAGATATTTGTAAACAAAAAACGCTGTTGATAAAAAATAATATATAGGATGGTTGAACATGGCTATAACGTATAAAATTACATATTCAGATATCAGTAAACTTTAACTTGTTTTTTCCCATTTTTGTCAATTGGACGAAGCACTCACTGTGCGCCACCTCAAGGAAGGCAATGGCAAATCACCTTGAGTATATTTGCCTTGTACAGCCTCTCAAATAGTGCCGTTCGTATTCGGCAATAAACTATAGGTCCCGTGTACTTGTGAAACACTGATGACACACATCACAAGTACATGCGAGAGGTAGCCGACGCTCTATATAGAGTATGGCGCTGTAAGAAGAAGAAGAAGGAAAAAATTTCGTATTTAAATGCCTTTAATTACCTAAAAGTTTTGAAAAATGTCCCATTTTTACACCACTTGACCCTTCTATATTTGGTTCGAGGATTTTAATATTCATTTTCATGAAAAATGATCCAGTTTTTCCTCTTTATACAAAATTAAGTATTGAAAACATAATATTTAGCGATATCTCCTTCGTCAGGTTCAACCAAAAAACGAACGCTGCAGAGATTGGAATCCGCTGCAGGAACCGGTGCATTCTGCAGCACCGGGTATGGTATGGGTTTGGTGTGGTGCGCGTAGAAATGGTCACCTCTCGACGGTTCAGTAATCGAGCAAGTTTTAAGGGCCAAAGAATCTAGTGTGCGGTGGAGAATCGAACCAAAAGCGCGGAACAAGACACTGCAGACGGGATTTCGGGTGTCTTCATTTTTATTTGACCGGTGGCGATTGATTGTTTGAACAGTTGAATTCGGAGGTTCTAGTGATTGTTTTAAGTAGCATTTCTAAGGAATATGACGAAGAAATACATATTAGTAAGTGATAATTACTGTTTATTTACCATATTAACGCTGTTGGTATGATTCTGAAGATTAGTCTTTTAGTTAATTTCAATGATATGGGCTTTGTATTAAACTTAATAGTATTATTATTATTTCAGCGTAAAATTTATTATATTTATTATAACAAAGTATAATATTTTTTTAAAGTTGTATCATATTAATGTTTTTATTTAATTTTTTTATATTTTTTATCTTAAATTTAGATTTTGCTTTATATAATTCCTAGGAATTTAATGTAATTAATCAAAAAAATAATGGCAGTGATGAATACTGATAATTTATGATATAAACATTATACCTATATGTATCATCTTTATTGTTTTATTTTAAATATTTTTTTATTTATTGTTTTTTTATTTGTATCTAGTTTCTGCGATGTTTTTTTATGTCTGTTGTTAAACTTAGTGCCAGAGGATTAAGCTATTATTAGTGTAATTCCTACAATATACTTTATATGAGAAAATTTAAGGAAAATATAATGATATCTAACTATTTTTAGTATCAGATTATTATTATAAACAAAATTTTATTGACATTTATCCATTTAATTTTTGTTTTTCCTTTAGTAGTTAGCTAAAAAAAATGCCATGTAAACAGTTCAATGTTTGCATTAAATGTAAACTAAATATACAGGGTGAATCTTAAATAAGTGCATATATTTTCAGGGTTGGTAGATCTCGATAAAAGAAACATATTTTCTCTTTGCCGTTTTTCAAATAAGTCCAAAATAACCCAGTTATTTTACTCTGAAAATTTAAAAAAGAAATTATTTTTTGCCTAAATTTTGAGAACCACTGGATCTTTTCTGGGCTTTCTTTCTTGTAAATTTAATCTAATATCTATATTGCCATATTATCAAGAAAGTACGTTTTTTAACTTAAAGTTAAAAAATCTTCCAAGAAATCCAAATTTTCATGATTTTTTTTCGCGAAAAAAGCCTTATAGTATAAAAATAAAATATTTTATAGTATATTTTATAGTATAAAAATAATATATTTGTAAACGTCCATGTTTTCTTTTTTGAAAAATGGCAGACCTAATGCCAAATTCTGAACAACTTTTATTTATTCTTCGATATTTTGTTATTTAACCCCACTTTTTAATATTCAATGGCAGTTTTTTTAACCCTACCGTGACAGTTATAGGACTTAAAACGGTTTTTCTTGTTATTAGGCGTCTGAATTGATTCAACATTTAGATATTTTTTAGATTCTTTATAATAAAAAAATATATACCGGGTGCGTCTCGAAAGTGGCACACCCGTACAACTTTTTTATTTTTTCAGATAAAAAAACGAAATTTGGTATGTTAGTTTATGACATAAATTCCGATTGATTGACGTATTCAATTGTTTTTGGTCACCGGTTTTTGGTCACTTCCTGTATCACCGGAAATGACTACAACTTTTCATTTTTAAATAACACTCTCGTTATATTTCTACTTTATTTGATAGAAAACGACACTCTGAATAAAATGACATATGATATGTCAACTTTTGACATTTTTGCATAGGATTTACTTGAAATTGTAGCATGCAGTTCATAAGGACAATATTTCTCGAAATACCAAGTATGTGGTACCAAATTAGTGGTAAAAAATGCTTTTTCAAAATATGCTAATGAGCCACCTTTGTTCCATTTGAAAAATTGAGATATTATTAAAAATACGATTTTAACCGGCCAGGACAAGACGCGAAAAACATTACACGATGAAAACTATTTTTCCAAGCCTCCTTGATTACAAATCGCAACACAACCATGGCACTCTAGATTAAAATTTAAAATACGATTTTTTAAAGGAAAATGTCAAAAGTTGACGTATGATATGTCATTCTATTCAGAGTGTCATTTTTTATTGAATAAAGTAGAAATATACCGAGGGTGCCATTTAAAAATCAAAAGTTGCAGTCATTTCCGGTGAAACAGGAAGGAACTAAAAACAACTGAATACGTCAATCTATCTTAATTTATGTCATATACTACAACATACCAAATTTAGTTTTTTATCTTTATCTGAAAAAATAAAAAAGTTATAGGGGGTGAGCGACTTTTGAGGCGATCCCGGTATATTTTGCCCGGGATTCATGACAGTGACAGTTGTGTCTGTCATTTTAATTGACAGGTAAATTATATTTTATTATTTTTTGAATGTACCTATTATTCTATATATCTCTATTTACTGACTCATTGTATAAACTTTATGTATCCAAAAATGTTATAAATTTAGTTCATTTTTTATTTTTTTTTAAGAAAATACCTTAGGAGCTTCTAAATCAAAAATATTCTTAAAATATTCGTAAATAAAAATTTTAAAGTGACATTAACATAGACTTAGCTAAAGAGACACACCATGTTAATTTTTTATATATTTGGAATTTTATAAAAACTAAATATTTTTTGATTTCAAATAGTTTTTCAGACTTTGATATAAAAAATGTATCCTTAACTTGTTCTGAAATCTATAAACCAATAAAACTCAATTATAGATATCGCAATATCAGTTTACAAACAAATATTGCCACACTACACTGTTTATTTTTCCAATTTTCCAGGAAGAATAATCTATAATAAAGGATTTCCAAACAATATTAATTACTGAAAATAAATTACTATTAATAAGTGTTTGTGGTGATTATTGGAAAAAAAAATATTCGGCAAAGTCCATGTGATAAATTTAATTTACACTTAGACGTATTTCCAAAAATATTTTAACAATGTATCAGTAATTAATATAGTAACACCACAAACTATTTTTCTAACTGAATATGCAAACAATATTGTAAATACGGTTTTCAAGGAAAAGCATATTACCTGTGTGAAATTTCAAAATTATACCAATGTATTTTAAAGATGTGGTAAACGAATACTAGCCATAAAAGCTTGACGCTCTAAAAATACTATAAAATATATACAGGGTGGTTTGAATTATTCGAGAAACTTCGGCAGCATATTCTGCAAATTAAAATAAGTAAAAAAGTTGGTATACTCCCCAGATAATTTTTATTTATCATCATTTTTTATATCATGACATACAAGTAAGACTCATTGTTTTTAATATTGTCCACATTTAAATTCGTCACTCATCACATGCATGCTCCCGCGATTCCTATAATAAGTGCCATTTTAATCAACAAAAACTCACCGTCCGGGGCTTCTTCCAAGCTTCTTCCGAGTTTTTAATTTCCTTGGCTTATGATTTTTTCCTTGATTTTGAGAAAGTTTTGGAAATTCGGAAATATTAATATTTTTATAAATCTGTAGAGTTGACTTGAGCATTGAATACTTAGTCCCTAAGGATGATGGAACAAATTTCTTCTGTAGTTCAAAGAAGTAAGCAAGCAAGATAGTTTCGTTTATACCTTTGACATGACTTCCATCCACTCTTCAAACGCCTTGAATTTCCTATCATATACGCAACGAGACTTTTCTGGCAGTATTTGTGATGTAGCTAGACCTTTTCGTTGTTGAGACTTGAACACCGGTGCTAGGTGTTGAATACCACCGGTGTTTCAGTCGGCGTACCGGTGTCAACACCGACACCGGTGTTTATCTCAACACCAGTGTTCATCTACAACACCGGTGTTTATCTGAACCCCGATGCTTATCTCAACACCGGTATCGTGATGAACACCGGTGTCGAGATCAACGTGTCTCGGTGTCGATGTCGATGGTGCCGTTTGTTTGTTTTTTTTTTTGGTTTTTTTTAATATAATATTTTTTAGTTTATTTTACAGCTACGAATTTTTGTTTCTTTGTGTTTTGTTATGTTTTCTATTTGTTTTTGATTAAACAATTTTTTACTTTATAGTTGTTTATCTGATGCTTCATGCTTCCACTTTATTTTAGTGATTAGTCTGGCAAAAAAATATATTTAAATTTGATCGCGTTAAGTCAAAGTCTGAGAAAAATAAGCACCGATACGATATTATTATTATCAGGGTTTATTTTGAACTTATTAATTAACATTATTTTTTCTTTAACCCGTTTACCAAACACCGGTGTCGTAGTCAAAACCGGTATCGAGGTGAACACCGGTGTCGACTCCGGAACACCGGATAGCCCATATTTCGCCACCGGTGTCCGCCTAACACCGGTATTACAACGGTGTTTTAGTGTTTAAAACAGGCCTAAATGTAGCCGCCTCTGCCTGGTTAATAATTTCTTGCGGAAGATCTTCCTGAATCATTTTGCTTTAAAATTTGACTTGCTGGTTGATAATACACTATTTTATCGTTAAAATCGTGATTTATCTAAATGACGTCTTAATGTCAGTGCTATTTATTATTTACAAAAAAAACGCACATCTGTATCGCATAGTAGCATAAACGCACCCTGATAATTTATTAATTCGCAACAATGAAAGTAGAACTGGTAGATCCTTTTAAATCAATTATTCTTTAGGGATTGGACATGAGACAGTTCTGCTGTTGGATAAAATTTTGTATGGCACTCGCGTGTTATAACATACAGAGAAGACCAGGCTACTAGTAACATAGCAACGAATATAACATAGTTGCCGGACGAATTTACGTTTACCCGATTTGCGTTCGTACTCGAGATTCACTGCCGGCTAGTCGGCTGGTCAGGCAGTACGCAGTTGTAGTTGTACTTGGACGGGTCGGTCGTGACAGACTAGGAATACGACGCGAGGAGTGCCGAGTATTTATTATTTTCATTTTAAGTGTTTCCGCTAACATTTAAAATAAAAATACTTAAATATTTATTATTTGAGTTTGTTTACAAGCCAAAACTAAAAATAAATAAATTCTCTAAACCCAAAAAAAACTAAATTATTACTCTAAATAAAAAAAAATTATAACAAGTGTTCAAAAAGACCACCTTCTTGTGCTAGACAGAAGCCTAGGCGGTCGTAAAACCCCCGTCTGACATTGGCTAACATATTAGGGCTAATAGTTTGGAAAGTCTCTCGTATTTTTACTTGAAGCTCATCCAGATTATTATTCCTATCATGAT